TATTCCAGGCAAAAGAGTCCTATTCATATTTCATTATAGCCTGTGTCTGCTCACCAAATGGTTCTTCCCCATATTGTTTCTAATTCATTAGATGATTTTAATTATATCTTTAAATTTTATATAAAATTGATTTATGCAAGTGTGCAGACAGTCCATGGTCTGAATACTCATACAACATTGTGAGATTCATATTACTGCCTGGCAGGGTTTTGTTCAAGTTCATTGCTATAAAATAGTCATTATATAAAGGATTCCACAGTTGTTCTTTCCATTCTATGGTTATAGGCATTTTTGTGTCCGATTCGTCATCAGTTCTGCCTCTGCCTCTTGAGTATCTGGGACTAGATCAAGTAATAGTCCACACTGACTTTGTATTTTATGATTTTTTTTTCATCGTATATTGATTTCACCTTCGTAAAGGTCTATAATTTGCTGAAATTCATTCAATCAGTATCTGCCATTAATCTCTCAACTCTTGCATCTACCACCACTCCTCTGTCTCCATCTTTTATGGCATCCAAATAAAAATGTATCCAAACTTCTTCATTGTTACTCATGTACTAGCATTGTACTTAGCTTACACTATTTTATGTATTTTATACCCTTGGGCTTCTCCAAGCTTAAGTGTGGATACTTTTGTGGATCCCATATCCATTTCATTATTCTTTTTTTAATGATTTTTATTTTTAAATACATGAGATGAGAAGATCCAATCTTATTACACATTAGAGCCCACAATTTTTCATAAGTATGTTCACACCAATTCGTGTCTTCATATATGTACTTTGGATAATTATTGTACATCACATTCCAACATCATGCTGCCTGGCCCCTTCCTTCCCACTCCCACCCACTCTGCCCTATCTAGAGTTAATCTATTTGTCCCCATACTCCCTTCCCTACTCCCTACGTATGAGTCAGCCTCCTTATATCAGAGGAAAACATTCTGGCATTCGATTTTTCTGGGGGAAGGGATTATGGCTAAACGTTCACTTTAGCATTCTCTTCTCCAACTCCATTCCATTTACCTGCAACTGCCATAGATTTTATTCTTTTTATTGCTGAGTAATATTTCCATTGTGTATATATAGATGCCACATTTAAAAAATCCATGTATCTAGTGAAGGGACGTCTAGTTGGTTCCACAGTTTAGCTATTGTAATTGTGCTGCTATAAAATGAGTGCTGTGTCCGTAGATTGCTGTTTTTAAGGTCCTTTAAAGGTAATATGCTGGGTCAATGGAGTTCCATTCCAGTTTTCCAAGAAATTCCATACTGCTTTCCATATTCGGATGCACAATCTGCAGTCCACCAGCAATGTATGGAGTTATGCTTTTTCCTATATCCTCGCCAACACTAATGAACAATTGATAAATTTGCCATCAATCTGGTGGATGTAGGTGGGCCATATTGACACATGAACAGGGAAATTAATGAGGAAATTTATCTTCCTTTTTAATACAATGGAAATTATGACTTGGTTTTAGGTCTGGTTTATTTCTTTTAGCCTATTACATCAGAGCCATGCATTTACTTCATGCACACATTTCCTTGTTTTCTTTTGCTTCCAAATGTTTGCCAGGCGACTAGTCCTGTGCTGTCTCCCAAATCTCAAGCAAGCATGGTTATTTTAAATTCACATTTAATTTCAATTTGATTTCCCTTGGGAGGGTACTATTTCTATCTACTCTTACTGATTTCTTTTAGTATGAGGCAGTTATCTATATGTAAAAGCAAAAACATGTGCATGGAAAATATCAGCAGGGTTCTCAATGTTATTATCTTCAAAGATAATTTACTCGTCTCTTGCATGCAATAAGGAGGAGAGAAGCAAATTATTTTAGTGCCAATGGGAATTGAGTTGATGCAAAGGGGGGGGGGGGGGGGCTTTTGAGAGCTTCATATATTTCTTTTTACGCAATCTTTTCCTAGGGTTTATCTCTTTAGAGACCTAACTAGAATTCTAGGGTGTTTTCCAATTCTCCCCATCTTCATAGCAGCCTAATTTTCCCCAGTTCTCAAACCATCTGTACTAAGCTCTGCTCAAATACTCTACGTCAGCTTTTAATTAGACAAATTCCAAAGAGAAAAGAAACACCAACTGTTGGAATCACCCCTAGGTGGAGTTGATCTTGTTTTTTGGAAATCTCTGGGATTTAGTCCCTGCATTTTTTTTTTCTTCCTTAATATCTCGATAACTTGAAACATATTTATTATTATGTCCAGCTTTTTACCCAGGTTTTCTTGGCTAGGAGATTAGTCTGAAGTATCAGTCTATCGATGTAGAAATGCGTTGCCAGTATCTTCAGCACACTTAGGAGATGTCTCTTGACATCTCATACTAATATGCCAAATGCCTATTTTTAAAAAACACCTCTTTCATCCGCAATTCAAAATTCAATCTGAGAAACTTACAAATGTGAAAATTCACCTCAAATATTAATGAAAGTGCTATAGTTATAAAATCAGTATCAACATTCTCCTTTACATTCTAGTTACCATTGGTATTGCCATATCATAATTTGAGTAGCAGAATGGCTTTGGAGTAAACTGAACAACGACTTATGAGGATTCTTATCTTTAATGCCTTTTAAGCTTGGCTCCTCCTAACAACTTTCTATATTAACTGGGCTTTCTTACGATTATCTCTTGCGGAACAAAAATTAGGTACTAATAAATATCAGTACTTCCAGTTTTGCAGGACATTTGTGATGTTATATGGTAACACGTACATGAAACAATTCATTATATAAACTGGACAAATGCATGCCAGGATGTTTACTCCCTCTGTACGACCATGTTGACCAGAAGCATCACCTTAATAATTTTTAAACAAAATGGCTTTCCCCAACTGAGAAGGACCCCATGATTTTTTTTTGTAGTACCAGGGATTGAAACCCAGGAGCACTTAACCAATGAGCCACATCCCCAGAGATACAGGGTCTTGTTAAGTTTGCTTAGCGGCCTCACTAAGTTGTTTGAGGCCTGGCTTTGTGAGACTCACAGTCTCCTGCCTCACGATCCCCAAGCGGGTGGGATTAAGGTGGAGGCCACATCGGTGAAAGAAAGGATTTTGACTGTTCTAATTATAAAGAGATGATTAATGTTTGAGGCCAAAGATATGTCTTAACCCTGATTTGCATATTACACCATGTAAAAACCACAGGCTGACACATCACATTGGTAATCCATAAATCTGCAGGAATATTATGTGCCTATTTCAAAACCATAACAAAATGTTTTACAATGACAAAACCAAAAATAAGTGCTTCCACAATTTTCCAAAAATATACTTTAGGCCTCAGGATCACTTGGGGGGGAATTTTTATCTAGATATATGAAAATTCAGTAATTTTATAGATTATAATTACTGAGCCGGGCTGGGGTATGTGGCTCAGTGGTAGAGAGCTCGCCTACCCTGTGTTGAGGCTATGGGTTCCATACCTTCGCACCACATAAAAATCAAATAAATAAAATAAAGGCATTATCTCCATCTACAATTAAAAATTTTTTTAAAAAAATTAATTAATGAAGATACTGCTAACCCAGGTGTATGTGGATCCCAAGTCATCTTTTAAGGGCCAAAGGGCAGTATGAACTGGTTACATTATGTCTCCTGTTACCTCCCAACACCTGGATAACTCCTAAGGCCAACTTTAAAATCCAGTGAAACAAGTTAGTGTTAACATCCAAGACAAGTCAACAACAAACAGACTGATGTTTTTCTTGGGTTAGGATGGATGGTGTGCTCATAAGCTAGATGGACATTATCTTCAGTAATGACCACCTCTTGTGTGATCAACTACAAAGTACCAGCAATGCATTGATATGATTCTATTACCTTAATCCTTTCAGTATCCCTACAAAAAGGTAATAGAGATAAGCAAAAGGGGGTTTCAAATTAAAGGACTGCTCAGGATTTTTTTAAAAAAATATTAAGCATTTGTATGATTCCACTGCACTCTAACTGTTCCACTCAGAGCCACCAATCTTTAAAAAAAAGACTCATGCTGGTCTCCATCTTCTCCACCCCACCTCACTTCACAGGATCCCCAACCTCCTTCTCCTCCCACCCCAGGAAGGTAGGAGGAGCAACCTAATTGGAAGGGGCTGAAAATAGGTAAAAGGGCCTAAGAGGGACCTGGCAAGGAACTAGATCTCAGCTCAACGCCCCTGGCACTCCCCTGCCCACCTCCTACCCCAACCTTGAACTTCCTTCCATCCTTGAAGTTCAGACTTGGGTACTGAACCCCCTCTCTACCTCTTCAGCAGTGCAATCCTCCTGGCGGTTTCCAAACCCTTTGCCACCCCCCCTTGCCCACTCAGCCCCTCCAGCTGGGCGTCTAACAGACCATCTACCCCTGGCCCAGCTGCTGAACTCACTGCCCTCTGGGTTCTCTGCCCAGAGGTGAGGACTCTCACCTCCTGCTCAGCACTGCCACTTGCTGGCAGCCAGGATCTGCACCTCCTCCCAACCTCCCCAGCTGGGGCCAGGCAAGAGCCTCTGTTCCCTTGACTACACAGTACACAGAGCTACAGGAGCTGTGGGAGATGTGCTCCAGCAGAGCTGGTGAGGAGGCATGCAGAGGAGTCCAGAGCACAGGGAAGGAAAAGGCTGGTGAGGCTGGGAAGGCTGGAGGGGAGAGAAGTGCAGTTGGCCCCTAGGCGGAGTTTGGTCTGTTTTTTTTTTGTGAGAACTCCTTGGGGTTCAGGCCTCTGTTCTGTCTGGACTCTCATCTCCTCCAACAGCTTGCAGAGACCCGGTGCCTTCCCTAACCTGGAGTTTGTTCTTTCTTGATTTTCAGGGATGCCGAGTAACTACTCCTTTGGATCATGCCAACCCAGGAGGCTCTTTCCTCACTTCTATCCCCAAACCGGATGGGGAACAACTTTCTCCCTCTTAGGGGATTTCCTCACACAGGGCCTGGAAGTTTACATGACAGATGTGAGTATTCACTTCCCTTACAAGGATCTGTTTTCTGGATGTGGAAGGGAGACCCAAGTCCCCTGGAAAACAAACGCTAGGCTTTGTGATCTTCTGGGTCAGAGCATGAGAAAGTGCTCAGTGGGCAACTAGCTGTCCCAGCCAATACAGAGAGTAAAGGACCATGTTTCCACCCAAGGCAAGCAAGCCTTGTCTCCATATGGTCCCACTCCATCCCCACCTCAAAGGCTCTGAGACAAGGCCAGTTCCTTCCCACTGGCCCTACCTTCAGGCTGCCAGGTGCAACTGGAACAAGTTCAGACCTATGAGATTCAGAGGATGGAATTTATTAGAATGCACAAAGATGTCATTTATTCTACCTGTCCAACCACATCCCTCTTTTAATCAGCTTTTGCCTTGCTGCTACCAAAAGACCTGATAAGAACAATTTTAAGGAGGAAAAGTTTATTTCAGGGGTCATGGTTCAGAGGTCTCAGTCCATAGATGGCCAGCTTCATTCCTTGGGGCCTGAGGGGAGGCAGAACATCTGGTGCAAGAAAGCAGCTCAGAACATGAGGGTCAGGAAGCAGAGAGAAAGCTCTGCTCATAAGAACATAACATAAATCCCAAAGCACACCCCAGGCACCCACTTCCTCTAGGCACACCCTATCTGCCTAGAGTTATCACAAGTTAATCTCTATGCTGGGGAGGGGAATTTAAGCGCTGATTAATCAGCTCAAGGATGTTGGAACAAAATCATTTCACCTCTCTACTTTCTTGCATTGTCTCATAAATGAGCTTTTGGGGGACATCTCACATCTAAACTATGACACAACCCCTTGCAAAATTACATGTATTATTTATGTGATTATTGTGTGGTATTGACCTTGAAGGAGTCAAGAGAGAAAGACAATGTCTTACAGAGTAGTTCAGATGAAGGCTGTTCACTGTGGTATTGATGTTTTTCTTTACTCCTTCTCTCTTTTTATTCATATGTTACTACTTGAAGTCCTATGGCTTGGCATACAACTTAACCAAGATTCCAACCAGTACAAAAGGATATACTCTTGGAGCCAGAACAGCTATGAGGTTTAAGCCAGTCAACAAGGTAAAATGCTGGGATTTTATGATGATCCATGTGACTGCATGAAAAGTTTGGGCATTAGCTTTGCAGAAGTGTGTGTATATTGGGAAGAGCAAAAACAGTTCACTGAGAAAAATAGTCCTAACAAAGGATTTTAGTGCTGAGATGCATGAGGTCAAAATACTGGAAAATGTATTTATGTACATCATATTATCCTGTCAGTTAAAAAAACAGGTTCTAACTTTTCTATCCTTTTGTGAGATTGCATTTTAAGTCTAATCTTTAGTAAAGGATCCTAATCTCTTTCTCTCACTCCCTCCCTCCCTCTCCCCCCCACCTCTCTTTCTCTCATGAAGTGGGTAGGGATGGGACCCAGGGACTTACTAGGCAAGTACACCACCACTGAGCTACATCCTTGGATCAAGGATCCAAAACTATGATTGGATGTTTACTTTCATGGAAACTCAAGGGATACTGGCTCTCAAAATTTCTCAGTGGGACCAGGGGCATAGTGACTGCAAAAGTTGTCTTGGTCCTCTGCTCATCCTAGGTTTATACATCCAGCATGACTGACTCACATCTATAGCTTGGTTTTCTATCCACATAAGCCTATTTGTATATCTTGAAATGGCTGAACCATAGCTGATGTATAAATAGGAAAAGGACAGTTGAGGTTTTTTGAACTGCAAGCATTTCTGTGTAGGTATGTCTCCCTTTAACACATTGAATTTTTTTCTTGGTAATAGGAATTGACACTTCACCCAGGCAAGTACCAGAGAGTAGAAAATTGGAAGGAAAAAACAAAGCAAAGTTTTGTTCCATTTAATGCCTTGATGCCTCGATTTCAGAGCTATACAAAAGACAATTTCCCTGGGTATGTCTCCTCTTTTCTCTAGTATAGTTCATCAGTAAGCAATAGGAAAAGAAGTCCATAAATCAGTGATTATAACAAAACCATCCCACTCAATAAGAAACCACCCATCTTTAAAGATTTAATCCTGTTATCTCCCAGGTCTCTGGCCTGTGTAATTGCAAAATCACAGTTATTCATCCAGTCAGTATTTATCAAGATGCCAAATAGTTTGGGTTTGTTTGTTTATTTTTGTTTGTTTTGTTTTCCCAGTACTGGAGAATGAATCTCTGAGCCACATCTCCAGCCCCATTTACATTTTTATTTTGAGACAGAATCTCACTAAGTCACCTAGGCTGACCCCAGACTCACAGTCCTCCTGCCTCAGCCTCCTGAGTCCCTGATAGGACAGATCTGTGCCATGACACCTGGCTACTTTGTAGTTTGTACTTAGTAGGTTGCAAAGTTCTTGCAGTAAACCCACCTCATGAGGTTCTGAGCTTGGAGTCTAGAGTCCAAATAGATGAGAAGTAAATACACAAGGAAATACCAGTAGTAGTAAAGACGGTGACCATGTAATTTATCTGTCCAACTGTGACACTTCTGAGAGTGAAAGGGAAGCAACCATGAGCTGGGGCTGTTGTGGACAAACCAAAAAGTACAGTGACCGGGAAAGGTGCTATGAGAAACTTTAAACAGGACCATGATGTGAAGGCAGTGGGTGGTTAAGAAAGGATGCTCTGAGCACATCCACTTGATCTGATTTTTGAGTGACAAGATTGAGCCAGCCCTGGGAAGATCTGGAGACAGAGCACTCCAGGCAGAAGAGGTCGGAAGTGCAAAGGCTGTAAATTGGGAAGAACTTGGTGTGAGGGAAAGAAGAAGAAGGCTCCTATGGCTAGAGGGCAGTGAGCAAGAAGAAGAGAAGAGAGGGAGGGGCAGGTAGAGTAGAGAGGACTTTGGGGGTCAAGGGGCTTATTCTTAATGTGTTCGGAAACGACTGGGAATGTATGAAATTGCACAGCAAAGGGTCAGGGTCTTTCTTTTACTGATGAGAAGTCCAAAGATCATACAGTGAAAGTAACTTTTTCAAGTTTGTGTTAAGAAAGTTGAAGTGTTGAATCTTGACCCCCATGTCCACTACAGTAGAATTAACACCCGAAGATAATTTTTTTTAAATTTTGTATTTGTTCTTTTCAGTTATACATAACTGTAGAATATATTTTGACATATCATAGATACATGGAGCATAACTTCCCATTCTTGTGGTTGTACATGATATGGAGTTACAAAAGTTCATTCTTCCTGATGGCTGAGACATATTACATATGTATATATACCAGATTTTCTTTATCCATTCATGTGGTGAAGGGCATCTAGGTTGGCTCCATAGCTTAGCTATTGTGAAGTGAGCTGCTATAAACATTGATGTGGCCATGTCACTATAATATGCTGATTTTAAGTCTTCGAGGTATATGCCATGATTGGGTAACTGGGTCAAATAGTGGTTCCATTACAAGTTTTCTGAGAAATCTCCATACTGCTTTCCAACATTCAGTGCCACCAGCAATGTATGAGTGTACCTTTCCCCCGACATCCTCGCCAATATTTATTATTACTTGTATTCTTGATAATTGCCATTCTGACTAGAGCGAGAAGAAATCTCAGTGTAGTTTTCAAAAGACACAAGTTTGAGGAACAAAGGCAATTCTAAATAATCCATGGCCAAGAAATTTAATTGGTTCCGCTTTGATGTCCCTAGATTGCAGATTGATTGTTTCAGCATTTTTAACCACCAACTTCAAATCAAAGAACTAATTTACCATTATCAAGGATCTCTTCTATCAACACCTCTTTAGAGATCTTCTGGTGCCCAGCTCAGAACACTGAATTATACAAATATTTTTTAAAAGCAGTCTTTACCTTAGCTAATAAGAAATTCATTAACAAGCAAAAGAACCCCACGCTTGCCCAGCATTAAAAACTTAATCATTCTATTGCCTTGTCCCAAGAGGTTAAACCTACTTCAGCGATGGCCATGCTACCTACTAGTGGAGTTTGTCCTATGCCACTGACTCATTAGACATGATGTTTGTATTTTTTTTATTTCTAGGCCTGGTACATACAATCCAGAGAAAAAGCCATTCCCAAAAATTACTTGGCCAATGAAATTTGGATCTCCAGATTGGGCTCAGGTTCCAAGTCTACAGAAAAGAACTCTAAAAGCTGAGGTAATAAGATTGGATTTCTGTAGATCACTCTATCCAATATGTTCATATATATCAAGGGTTAATAACCAGAAGCTTGTAAATGAAGTTCATGGTCCCTGAAATTATATGCACAATTTTGTGTGCATAGAAATATGAGGATCCTTTTGAGAGAGTTACATAGTTTCAATACATTTTTAACAGTGTATAGGACTGACTTAAAGTCATGTTTTCTTATTTGTTCATCAAGTCATCTTTTGGAGTAGGTTAAATATCCCTTTAAGACAATGGATGATACTGGAACCCAGGAAGATTGATTCATACAGGTTCTACAACTGGAATCCAGACCTTTGACTCCTAATGCAGTGCTCTTTCTTACATAAAGTTGAGTGTTAAATGATTGGAGGGTTATAGAGCACTCTGGTTAAGAGCACAGACTCTGGGGATAATACTGCCTGAGTTCAAATACCAGCTCCTGTGTAGACTTGCTATGTGATCTTAGGCAAGTCCTTGAACTTTTCTAAGCATCTGTTTTCTTACCTTTAAAATGAAATAATAACAGAGTTGATCTGATATGGTTGTAAAGATTAATAATGGAGAGAATGTATAAAAGCATTTAACATAGTAAAGATAACATATGCTTCCGTCCATGCTAGCTATCATACTTCTTGAAGTACCCTTCTTTCCTAGTGGAATTTAGGATTAATTCCGCAAATATTTATATTTGCGGAATTCATATAATTGTGCTAAGGCATATAGGTAACATTAATAATTAATATAACATATTAATACAATTGTGCTAAGACATATAGGTAACATTCAAGAATTAGACATATAATCTGTGTCTTCAAGAAGCCAAGCAACTTTTTTTTTTTATCATAGTGAGATGATAAATGTAGATGTGCACAAATGTTGAGAAAATGACTAAGGCTGGATTACTAGAAACTGGGGTTTACCTGGGCCACACAGCTAGAATGTATGCTTCAATTTTGCATGCAAGGTCCTGTGTTCAATCCCCAGTGCCACACACACACAGGAAGGCAGAGGATTCTCATTAGAACATTGTCTTTCATTGCAGCTGTCCACAGACAAAGAATTTAGAAAGCATCGGAACCGAGTTGCTTACTTAAGCCTGTTTTACGATTGAGCAGTGATCACTTCCTTCACATGCTTCTCCTGATCACAGACTCTTCAGAATAGAGGACAGAGCTGCTCTTGGTCTGCATCACCACGGCCCTCATGTCTTTCAGCCCTGGGCCCAGAACGTGTTAAGGGCCTCACAACTGAGATTTCTGAGCATAAAAACTGGTTCCAAGTGTTCTGTCTCCTGCTGCTGGTTTATGATCTGGGGGTTCCTGGTGGGTGTTCAGGTGGATGGTCTCATTTGAGTGAAATACTCTGGGGCCCTTGCCCTTTATTCACAACTCCCAGGGACCAGCCTTATATGTTCTACAACTAGCTCTGGTAATATGTAGCTGTTGGCCTACATGTATCAAGAGCTTGGATGGGATGTGGGCTTGCTAGACATGGAGGATGCTTAAAAGTGGGTTAAAACATTCCTGATTTAGGAGCTCTTCCAAGCTTTAGTGTGGAGTAGGAAGGCCCTGAGTAGGTTGCCTTTCCCAGAGGAACATAAAACACAGAGAACCAAAAATTCCCCCCTCCGACTACATCATCTATTTAATCTGTTAGTCAACATATATATTGAAGTCATTAACTCCATGTCAGTCAGTGGTAGGCACTGGAACATATTGGGATTCAACTTACACTGATATACTAGTTCCTTGAGGCTGGCCAGAAGTCTGAGTCCTCCCCAGGTTGACTGCCCTTCAGTCTGAATGACATCTGGAGCCTAATAGCTAGCCCAAGGATATAAAGATCACAAAGCAGCAGCCATGTATAAAGTACTTACCCAGATACTCTGGTCTGGTAGGTAAGCTTCTTAATTTTCTACATTAACTCTCAAAATGTAATTTATTCACGATTGGCATTAAGTGTGGTCTACTTTATCTTTTTTTTTCCCCAGTAGGAGGTGCTGGGAATTGAACCCATGGACACTTTACCAGTGAGCTACATCCCCACCCTTTTTGTTTTTATTTTGAGACAAGTTCTCACAAAGTTGCTGAGGTTGGCCTTGAATTTGCAATCTTTCTGCTTCAGCCCTCCCAAGTCACTGGGATTACAGATGTGTGCCACCATACACCCAGATTTCTAGCTTATTTTTTAATGGGTAAGTCCTTTTGTACCCACTTAGACCTCTTAGTAATTATCCCCCAAACTCTGAAAGGGTCTGGATTTCAAAGAGTGAGAAGCTGATAGTGGCCACCGAAAAGTTCCAGCCCACTACAACCCTGAGAGCCACCCCAGAGCAACAGCAAGGGTTAGCTGGAGAAAAGGATAGACAAAAACCTCCTGGGTGAATGACCTTGGAGAAGACTAAGTCCAGAAGAGCCAAGGTCTTCTGAAATCATAATGGTGAGGGTCAGAAAAGTCTCTATAGGAAACCAAATTGGAATGTTAAGGTACCTGAGGCTTAGAACTTACCCAGTACTTAGACATCTTTCAATCTGATGGTTGAATGGTTTCTGTTAACCTGTGGAGAAGAGTTGATGACTTGAGAGTCAGGATGAACTCTTACCACCCCTCCCACATACTGCCCTCCCTTTTCTCCTGTGCATCCATATATTTACATGCAGGTGGATTCAGAGACAATAATTTAGCACTTGTCATTGTTTCTGATCCAAGATCTTTTGCCCCTTCTTAGGAACTGATTGACAGCAGGATGGAACATCTTTCCCACTGCTTGGTCCATATTCTCAAAGCTTTTCCCAGGGAAGGAAACTCTCTTTCCTAAAATAGTAATCTGGGGCTGGGGGTGTAGTTCAGTGGCGGAGCACTTGCCTAGCATGGCAAGGCCCTGGGTTCATTCCCCAGCGCCCCCCACACACATACAAAGAAAGAAAGAAAGTAGGAAACACATCCTGTTAAATAATAAAATAGTAATCTGACTTGATCAAAAATAAATTGTAATAGAACCTCAATTAATATTCAGGGTCTCCTAAAGTTCTAAACTGTTAACAATGGCACAAATACTTAAGAAAAAAATATCATGAGACCTGGAAGTGTAGCTCAGTAGGAGAGTGCTTACCTAGCATGTGCAAGTGTGGGGATCTCCAGGACCCCAAAAGGAAATAAATAAATAAATAAATAAAACCAGTACCAAAGACAAAATGTAGTGGGCCATATGTATTTTATATTTGTATTTGTTCAAGAGGCTTACAAGATTTTGGGGAGGTTCATTTAGTAAAATCATAGTGCTTAGTGAAGTAGGGGTTCCAATATAACAGAGAGATTGATATAACATAGAGACTGCATGAAATCCTGGAGGATGTAGCTTGATGTGCAGCACAAGAAAATCTGTGACAAAGTGGAATTTAATGGCCAATTGCAGCAGGATTATAACCATGCACATGTACTAGGAGAGATTCATACTCAGCAAAATTTGGAAATTGATTTAAATCACATTAAAGTCTTCCAGTGTGTTTCATGTACTCTGTGACATTTTAACCAGCATATTATTAAATAATAAATTACATTTAATCATATTTTTGTGGCTTGAGGAAAAAGTAAGTAATAATGAGGTTAGTCTGCCCTTCCTCTGTGCATATTTAAAAGCTCAAAACCACAGATCTTAGGGAAAATAGGTCCCTGCGGAATGCAGGCATCAAGCCAGAACTGTAATTTATTCAGTCTTCGTACCTCATAGTGTAATCCTTAGCATTGTCCTGGCCAAGCCACTCAGTGCCTTCGTCAGCTTGGGGGACGTTTGGTCTTCCATCCAGGCATCTGTGGTTCCACTCAGAATGTGTGGCTCTGTAGGTGTGGGGTGAAGAAGGAAAAGAGCACGTCACCGACCAATGTCACACTGGAAGAGAAAGAACTGAAATGGGAGGAAAACTAGGAAGAAATGGGAAGGAGATGGAGAAGAGGACATCATGGAAACAACATTAATCTCACATGTTCTTTAGAGAAAATCTCGTCTCATAAAGTGAAGAGACAAATTTATGAGACAAGACAAATTTACAAATTGATGCCAGGCTACAGACGAGTGCCATTCCGGCTAACCTGTACCCAGAGGTTATTTGAGGAAAACAGCGCACTCAGATGCACTCAGGTGGTTCTTCCCTCTGGCCTTTGGCAAACACTGCTTGCCAGTCAGCCTGCTTTCAGCATAGGATTCAAGTGAGCACAATCAATTCAAGTTGGAAGGGAGATCAGATTATTTGAAATTCTTCTCTAGCTATTTATGAGAGCCGAATAGAATTTAGTATTACTTTGGGATTATGGAAAAGATGGTGTTTTAAAACCTGAAAGGGAAATGCAGATCATTTTTTTATTTCCTAAGTAAATATTCTATAGCCATGAAGCTGCTTATGCTGCCAGCAATGAGAAACCAGGGTTTAGGGACTCCAGAGAAGAGTAGCGCAGTGACTTAGAACATGAAAGAATCTCCCCTAGGGACATAGCTCAGTTGGTACAGTACCTGCCTCACATGTACAAGGACCTGGGTTTGATCCCCAGCACCAAAAAAAAAGAATTTCCCCTGATGCATTTTAAGCCACATTAGTTAATTTATGGTAAGCCTAGGAGTTGTCTCACATGTGAAAGTGCCAGATAACTCTGCTTCAGAGACTGGGGCACCAGCTGAGGGGTTAGAAGCACTTAGGTGGGAGGCTCTCCATGGGTGGGGAATCCCATAACCAACCTTTCTGCAGGGACCCCCTTGTCTTTCCAATGGTCCATGGAACATTCCTGGGGAAGGTAACACACCTTGGTTCATCAACAGTGTCTGTTGCATTTGATGACCAAAGTGTAGCAATTGTCCCCCCAAAGAAAGCCTTAATCCATTAGCAAGACTCTCCCCAAATCCTACCGTCTCCCCTCTGCATAAGACTAAAGGTTTCCTTTCTTACATGATTGAACTAATGCTTGTCACCTTGATCTGTGAATCCTATGTGTGGTCATTCACCTATCAGCATAGGATTCAAGTAAACACTATTCAGGTTGGAAGGGAGATCCAATTATTTGAAATCCTAGACTATTGAAATCCTCTCTAGCTATTTATAAGAGTATAACAAAACTTATTATTTATAGCTTTGGGGCTATGTGCAGAGGACTGTTGTGTCCTGTGGATGAGTCCCAGCTACCAAGGTAGTTATAGGTGACATGCTAGTGAAGTTGAGGAGTCCAGAACCAGAGCCAACACAATCACCAGGTCATTTCCTCATGGATAACTAAGGAGTAAGATATGGTAATGGTGGGAAACCCATGATAACAAGTAGAGCCATGTGGTCCTGCTTCCTGGAGCAAAAGACCAACTGTGGGTTGTTAGAGCATGGGGGTCTCAGAAACAGGGATCTGTAGGACCACAAGAATCAGGTGAGTAGTTCTACTGTTTTGTCAATAATAGTTTCCATGATCATACAGCTTTTTTTCAAAAGAAATTGCTAATGAGGTTGCCATTATAAGGATTTTCTATGGTCTTGAGTCTCATTCCTCCACACAGTGACCATCTCACCATAGTGACAATTTAAAGGGACCATAACCTTATGCCAAGGCCACCAAGTTCCCAAACTTCTTTGTCATTGAAGGTTAACTTCCCTAATGTTATATTCACTTAACTATTTGGATGCTCTCCACCACATAGTCTAGGAATCTCTGCTCTAGGACTTGGAGATTCCAAGAGACCCACTACACTCCCCAGGGTCTGCAGTTTCATGAGCTGTAGTGCTCCCTCTGCCAGCAGATGTTCTGATAAGCATCCTGGGTGTCCTAGTTTTTTAGCTGCTTCATCAAACCCCTCCAGCATTTCCTGGAAAGAGGGTAGATTCAAGTGATTGTCTTTATTGTCTGTTGCCTGTAGTAAGCAACTCTTGGGCTACTTTCTGCTCACAGCAATCATCCCTTTGTATAAAAAATATGCCTCGGTATACAAGTATTACAAGTTTTGGTAAAGCATAACTTGCAACAAAGAGATACTGAGAGTCGAGTCAGAATTAATGGTAATCCCCAAAGAAGGGGAGACCAGGAACTTTGGGCAGAATTCCTTTTCCTGCTAAGCTTTTGTGTGTAGCAGGACTAAGGTCTTTCCTGCCTCAGGGCCTTTGCTGATACAATTTCCACTTCCTCAGAACACCCTTCTCCTTGCTCTCTGTGTGGTTGGTTCCTTTTCATTCATATCACAACTTAAATATCACTTCCCCTGAGAAGACTTCCCTGACCATCTTATTTGCTTCCATCCTAGCTCTTATCACAACT